TGTAGTCATCTTTTAAAAAAGGCTAATGAAATAGTTTTGGTTTGGAAGGAAACATTGCTCTACTACCCAGCCTATTCCTTGAAATAACATTCTGGGAATATGCCACAGTCAAGTCATTGATTATTGTAAAAAATTAAGTATATTATATTGTTAAACACTTATAAATGATTTTACTACCTGAGAAAAAGGTGTGGAACTACTTGGCAGCTTTCCAGAACCAGTCTCATATGCTTGAAAAATGTCACGATCCACACTTACTCATGGTCTTCGTTATTGATCGTTGATATAGTTTAACTTAACAGTCTATGGTTAATAGTCTAACTATAGTCAAGACTGCCTATTTATATTTTAAATAATGTATTTGTGAAATTGTCTTTAGCAGTCGTGTTTACAGTTTGTCACATATAGCAGCCTGGCTGTTCCCCAGAGCGTGAAACTTCCTCCCCTTCCCTCCTCCCCCCCGTAGGATGTGTGTGTTCCTTGAAAAGCATCCAAGCGCAAACTTTTTTTTTTCTTCTCCTTAAATTAAACTGATATTTGAGCTATCTGCAGGTGTATTTAGCTGGGAGTTGTACCTCAGCAGAAGGGATTATGGCTTATTTTTGCTTTGCCAATGGTATGTTCTAGGAGAACAGATCCAAGATGAATATTGGTTGAAGCCTTAGGAGTAAAATACGTGACCACGTTTAGATCGTGTAGTTCTTTCTCTTCCAGTTAAATTTACGAGAAGTTTTAATTTCACCCATTTGCAATTATCTTCATTCAGCTATTAGATACCTGAAGGTGCACTTAACCCAGTCAGCAGCTGAGCGAAGGTTTAGTCTGGTCAGTACCTATTTTGGTTTACAACTAAACTTGTTCCTTTGCTCCTTAGACTGACGCGGGCAGGTTGCTTCACTGTATGCTGGGTGGAAAGAACTGAGAGGGACTGTGAGTCAGGGCCTTTGCAGAGGGGAACTGCGTGGGCTGATCGCAGATGATTCACAACAGGGTCAGAATTATTTCGGATATCACGGCCCTTTGCTTATTTAAGGAAGCTGCATTGAAGGAGGGGTGGGAGGAAACAAAAGCAGCGATGGTGGTATCGTCCTCAAATATTGTTTAAAAGCTGCGCAGCTCTAGGGGGAGTGTATACTAATGGAATAAATAAAGTTCCCTAAACATTTTCAAGTTGGGAATGTTTTATCAGGCAGTAATTCAGCAACAATATGTACTCGGAAGCCTTTAAAACTGTCTAAACTAGATTTTCATATGGACAAGTACCCAGTGGGATGCTGTCTTAGTCTAGAATAAACTAAGACTGTTTCTGGTTTGGAAAGAATGTGCTTTCCAGGGACGGTGATGAGTGCTGTCTTCTTAAAGTAGCTGTGTGAAGACAACTGCCTTTGCCTAAGCAGTAAAAAGTGGTATCAGAAGATTATTATTGGACCAGAATGTAATGTAGAACTAGAAACTGTAAACCAGCATTTCAGAAAGTGTACAATAGCCGCCCCCCTTCTGAAAGGAAAAATTATCCTGGTAAGAAGCTGGGATGATTCAGTATACCTAGCATAATCTTTTGTTTTCTGTCGTGCAATATATGAAACTTTTATCTAGAGTTGCAAATGGTGTTTTTTAGTGAAATAAGCACATTAATTCCAAAGCGTGGCAAGTTTTGTTTTTTTAATGAGTAAGATTGTAATATTTGAAAGGCTCATTTTCAATTAGAAAATATCTCTCTTCAAAATTCACTGTAATGGACTGCTGTGCTGCTTCAAACAGAATAATTTCTAGGACAACTCAGGTGTCTGTCTTTGAACAGACTGATGAAAGCCGTGCTCTTCAGCAGTGTTACGTAGTACTATATGCTAAATATGTTTGTAATACGAATAGATATCAGGGCAATGTATACATTATTTGCAACAGCGATTCTGTTTTTATTTAGCTGTAAACGGATTTAGTGTTAGAAGGAATTAGGTTCTGGTGCATTGAATGACTATTACTGCAATTTCTAATTTCTAAGTCATTCACCTACTTGTATAAAAACTTGTCTTTGTCTGAATACCTTCCCTATGGAGTGAAATTTCAGGGCTTACTGTTTAAGTTAACATATTTTACGTTTGGTAATTAAAACAGACCTATTCTATGTTTTGTCCTTTTGGATAAGAAATTACTTTCTCAGAAGGCCAGTACCTTCAAGTGTAAACACTGTTAAGTCCAACCTTGTAACGTTTGTTTGACTTTTCCTACCCCCACTCCTCAGGCATGTGCTCTCTGCCTTCAACTCTTAAGTTTATCTCAAGATGAACTTGGCATGACACTTACTTCACACCCACTGCCAGGTTAAAAATAAATCTTAATGTGATTACAGTGACAAATGCATTGTACTGCTTCTGTAGTGAAGACTTGATAATTAAAAAAAAAAAGCAAAGAAAAAAAAGCACTGAAGTTTAGCTCTTTTGTTGTCTAGCAGGCTGGTTTGCATCATTTGAAAGCTTCACGTTATCTTTCTTCCCTGCGTTTCCTCTCTGCAGGGCTTCCTCCGTGTTTACTCAGTTGTGGAGGGGGACAGGACAGAGGGGGTGATGAAACAGTTTTGCTTGGCTGTTTTAATGATAGAGTCTTTCATGGCGTGATCCAAAGCCTGATGAAGCTGATGGACTTTGGATCAAGCTAGTCGAAAAACCAAATCTGAATTTGGAAAACATCCTGCAGACTCTTTGAATGCTGTATCTAGAAGTTAAATAAATGCTTTTAATTACAAATGACATTCCTGTCTTATCTACTGGTGCTTAAACCTGGCTCCCAGCTCTCCTTTTATTGTTTGGTCAGGGAAAAGCCTGGGTTGTTGATTACGCTACAGACAAAACTGCTTTTCTTTTCATCGTGCAAGTAGCCTTATAACACTCAGACAAAATTCTTGTTTCATCCCATGGCAAAGTACATACGGTATATTGTGTGTGCATGTGATTGGGGGGGAGAATATTATCATAATATGATGATGCATTTTGCATGAAGCTCTCCAGAATGCCTCATTTGAGCTTTTGCCATTGTAATTCCATGTATCATTTCAGTGTTAAGCAATGCCCCAGGGTCAGGAAAACCCATAAGATGCAGCTGGTAGTTAACCTATGTGTCACTAGTCTGCACAGAGGATGTAAAACAGAACATTTCCATATGAATAACGCCATCTGTTTTTTAACTCCCTTGCATTTAGTTCTCGGCCTTCCCCCATCACAGACATGGCCCTGTATCTCCTTTCAGTTTCTTGTCATAACTCTGCCCAGTCACAGCCTCCATGACCCAGAGGGTCACAAAGCAAGAAAGTGTGTCTGGAGCTCATGCTGCCCAGAGCTGATGTAATGACGAGAGAGGGCAGGGGAAAGTTGAGGCTTAAGTTTGAGAGACCCTAAATAGTGGACCTGTAGTAGTAGACCTGGGGAGGGGGAAAGAGGGGACTTTTTTTTTTCTTTTTTGTTTCCCCCCCCCCAACCTGAGGACCCTACAGATTTTCAAAGGCAGGTGTGGACCCCATGCACATTTAAAATATAAGTCATCATCGTACTTAGGAACATCTTGTTGGTCATCTTTTTCAGGATACCTATAGACTGTGCACGCGTTACCAGGTTTCAGCAGACCACAAACTCAAAACGAGCTATTACGGATTGTCTCTTTCCCACTGTTGCCCAAATTCATGTGAGACATGATAATACAGCGCACCACCTAATTTGGATTTTTTTTTTGTCAGTTTAGACAGTGTTATTTTTCAAGTGAAATGCTAAATTGCTAACCTTTTTTGAAAGTTTTTTTTGCATGTGATGAGGGAAAATACCTCGTGTAATGGATACTGAGTTTCAATATGGATACAATCCTGGCCATAGTGACTTGTGTGGGGCCAAGATTTTATTTCTAAATAGTTTAATGAGGACCAATAAGCCTCAGCTCTGTCCTATTGGGAGCTGGTTATAGCATAAAAATTCTATAAGAAGATCCTTCAAGTGTAAGCGGGGTTTTCCTCCTTCCTGTAAACGTTTTGAAGGTACCAATGTTTTTGATCATCGTTAACATTTGAAATCTCATGGTTCCCATATGTTGTTACAGTATCTTTTTGTCAGATGTTAATTTTCCTGTATATAGAAGAGCTGCTACATACAGTAATTTTTTGTGACCCTACATTTTTGTCCAAGAGGCACATCGTCCAAAAGGGCATTTGTAGATGACTTATGAAAACTAGTATGATTTTACAATAAGATATGATTGTATTAGCTGATGTAACATTTTTGCTTTTTGACCCAAATATTAGCAAGATACTCAAGGCTGCCAACACCCTTGCAGATACAAGCTTTTTTCCCCCCCTTAGTTTCCTCATATGTAGTACCAGAACATTTCTTAAGGGCATGTTATAAAAATAATGGACAACTTCTATATTATGCATACAGGAGTAAGAAAGTAAAGCTCCAGCGTCAAACCAAAGGGATTAAGGCAGTCCCAGGGGAGTAAGTTGAAGCTGCAGAGAAACGTAACCCAGATGGTACCCGCCTTGCCTTTGGTAATAGGGAGCAGCGCCTGGAATGTCTGCAGAGAGAACGCCCGTTGTCTGTCTCGGTGCTTTGAAGGCTGTTCGCTCATGGGAAGGGGGGTTTCTGTCCTCTTTGTACTCCGGCAGGATTTCCGGGACGCCGTGGCGCATGCCTCTAGGCAGCTTGGAAAGCCAGTGATTGAGGACAGAATCCTGAATCAGATCCTGTACTACCTACCTCAGCTGTATGAACTCAATCGGGACCTCCTGAGGGAACTGGAAGAGCGATTATCTCACTGGTGACTATCAATAAAGGGATACCACTCCTTTGATGTTGTTGAAATTTATCTGTGTGGCTTATGTGACTCCACGTGACCACGGTTTGACTCTTGTTTGTGTTGCACGTGCCTTCTTAAATGACAGAACTGACTTTGAAAGTACAGGAGATAATTTTCCATTTAGATGTACTTCTTGCCATTTAGATGTATCCAGAAAGGTCTAGAAGGCATGTCAATACATGTTTTCAGCAATCACACTTTTTTATTTAAAATTTTGTTTTTAATTGAAAGTTCTGGTCCCTGCATGGGCATGATAAGCAGACTGATTTCATTAGAGGAAAAGGAGGCTGCCCAGAAGACCTGTTTGCGTTTTAAAGGTAGTTGAGATCTACTAACCAGACAGAGTGCTGATTGACAGCCACAATCCCATTGAAGCCCATTCTCAGTTACAGTGGTGGGTGGATCTAAATCAGCTATACAAAGCCTACTGACAAAGGCACTGAAATGGGTGAAGACTGTAGTCCCATGCTTGCTATTAAGGGATGGAGGCTGCATCTTGAAGTTTGAAGATCTGTCTCCTCAAAAATCCAGCTTGTGTTCAAACGGTTCAAGGCCATTATAAACACACTGTGTATTAAGTAGTTGTCATCTAATGCTAAATTAGTGTGTCAAGGTGTGCCTGGTAAGGTTTTTCAGAGTAGCTACTGAGATGGATGCCTATCTGCTGAACTGTAAGCTTTTTGTTCAGAACATAAACTAGCACATCTTACTGTGAAAAAGAGAGATGTTTTGCTGTAGGGTTAAGATGTACACTCTTTTTAGCTCTTTCTAATTGCTCTATTTTTTGTTTCTAGGCTCGAACATCAAAGAATTGCTGATATATTTGTTAAAAAGGGTCCCTACTTAAAGATGTATTCAACTTACATCAAAGAATTTGATAAAAATGTTGCACTATTAGATGAACAGTGTAAGAAGAATGCAGGTTTTGCTTCAGTAGTCAAAGACTTTGAGGTACTGTAGTCTTTTGTAACATATATGCCATTTTGTGGCTTTTCAGCTGTTGTGATCCTCCATAAGGCTTTAGAGACCATCCTCCAATTTGGTTTTTTGTTTTGGGTTTTTTTTGCTGCAGTCTTGGCTTGAGACTTAGTAGGGTGGAAGTGGAAAGAAGTAAATTCAGATTTTGTGAAGTAACTAGTGATTTTGGCTACCATTGTGAGATATGATAAAGGACCTTGATTTTCAGAAAATGCAGCACTTGCTACAAATTATATCAAAGACACATTAATAAAATCTCTAGCTGCTTTTTTTTTTGTTTTGTCTCCTGATTGTACTATGCAACGATTAACTGTTGTATTTTAACCAGGTTGATTTCTCTACCACATCATAGGGCAGTAGCTTACTCATGGGAATGGCGTTTCATTTCAGTTGGAAACATAAAAAAGTGAATTTTCTCTTCTGCATATTTCTATAAGTTTCAAACCCAGCACATGCAGCAATCAGATGAAAGCTGATTCATGTCCCTAAGAGCATTGCTAGATTTTTACATAACTCCCTTAAAACAAATCAGAGAAGAGGTGCAAGCTCCCTAAGCACATGATCCACATGAACTGTGAATTTACCTCTTATTACACACGCTTCCCCTTGGGTAATACCTGCTCTGTTTGCTTACGAGTAGTTCGAAAGGCTACTCACAGTGGACAAAGGAAGAGCTTGAGGTAGAGTCAGCAAAGGCAGGAAGAAGATAAGAGGCCTTTTTAAGGACTTGGTGTTTCAGATGCACGTTATTTTGAATGCAAACTCAAGATAATTAACATTTTTGAAGCATGGATCTTTTAATTCTGTGTTGTCTTTAGAGGTGTGGATTAATTAAAACTTCTGCAGTGAGCGCTGCTGTCTTCGCTGCCTTTCTGCCTAGTGGACACTGACAGCGATTACAAAGGAGCATGTTGCCCTAGCCACCGGTGTTCCCTTTATTTCTGGGAAGCTTCACCTCTCTTCCTCATAAGCAAAAGCACCTGTTTTGAATCCACAGAGTATGAGTGCTTACCGATGTCTTTTAATGCATGATTAATTTTGCATGCAATCTTCCACGTGGAAATGCTTGCTCTGTAGTGTGGTGTTTAACACTGTGGTAGTCACACCTTTTCAAGATAAAGCTTATCCAACGTAATCAGTAGTTGTTTGTAGGTATGTTTTCTTTTGCTGGAACCCTTGACTACCACAGGATCGTTACTTCTTTTGTGTCTTTCTTTCAGATGAGCCCCCGCTGTGCTAGTCTGGCCCTCAAGCACTATCTGCTCAAGCCAGTTCAGAGGATTCCCCAATACAGGCTCCTGTTGACAGGTACAGTCAAGCTCTTTTGCAGGCTTAAGAAGCCAGTCTTCACACATCCCAGGAAACTTGTTTTCAGGCGGTTGTATCCATCCGTAAAGAGTGTTTATCTGACTTCAGATATGTGAAGCTTTTTTAAAAACATGGCATGGGTTTAGAGGCTTTCTTTGTTAATATTGATTGCAGTAAGATACACAAGCGAGGTGTTAGTATTCCCAACGCTGTGGTGTGTTCTCTGATGGTATGTTCAGCAGTACTTGGAAAACATGAAACCTGTGGTGGTTTTTGTTTGTTTCTCCGGTAATAGAAGCCTGTAATTTCCTTAGAGGCTTGGAATGCTCCTGTTTTGCTTCGGGAGTTGGTTTTTTTTTTGGTTGGTTGGTTTTTGGTGGGTTTTTTTAATGAAGGAAAAAGGTAGTATGGAAAACTGGAGCTAGGAGAAGGAAGTGAAAGATGTCTGTGCAACTGTGAACTTCTGCAAAATAGCTTCTCCATTTCTCCACCACCCAGGTGTTTTGTCTGTAAAATCCATTCTCTTTTAAAGGCAAAACACATGTTTTTAGTGTATGTTTACTAGTAAGTGCTTAAGACTTGTTACAGGGGCATTGTAGGCTGAAGAGCTGGCTTGGGACTAGGAAATCTGGGCTCTATACCCTGCTCTGGCACTGGCACGTTTGGGTGACCTTGAGCAAGTCATCTCCATGATGCAGTGCTTTCTTTTCTGTAAAAGGAGGGCAGTGATAGAGGTCTCCTTTGTGAAGTATTTTGAGATGTGTGTGTTGTAAGAGGGGGATGGCTCCTGTAAGGGTTTGGAAATACTTAAGGCATTGTTTTTGAAAGCTGTTTCTTCTTGATGAGCAATTTAAAAATAGCCTCTGTTTATGTAGTAACTGCAAAATAAAATGCTCTGTGACCTTTTTTTTTGGCTCTGTAGCAGCTTGTTGGCATTTCCCCAGCAAGTACTTAGACTAGTGATGCTGTGGGAGATACAGACTTGTTATACAGCAGTTACCAAATTATTAACGTTGACTGTTTTCATTTTAATCAGCTCATTAAAGTCACAGGTGTTGAAAAAAGGGTGAAAAACCCTTATTAAATGGACTACTTTGTAGGGGAAGATCTTAGTGACTCTTAATTGATGAAAACAAACCACAAAATGGCATTTGGGGAGTTGCTTAATTTTAAAGGGATACTGACTTAGGGCATGGTATAGGCTTGTGATACACTCTAAAATCAGCAGAGCTTTGGATAAGTTCAAAGGTTTTAATTGAAAAGGTTGAACAGAGGAGTAAATGCCATTGTCAATATACATAGCAAAGCGAGAGATGTCAGGGGTGAATGGCACTGAAACAAAACTCAGATGTTGAAGGGGAATTCCTCGTGACCATTAAGTGTCATTGTGGCGGGGACAGGCCTTTTTAGACCTGAAAAAACTCATTCTGTGGTGATGGGGGTTGCTGTGGGTGTCCGCAGTCTGCAGACCCTACTGTGGCTGCCCAGCTTTAAATACACCTGCAAATGCTATTGACAGGAATGGGATTGCAGTGCTGGCTGCTGATTTAGAAAAGTAATTTTCTCTTGTTTTATGGGAACAATAAAAGAGGTCAGACTAAGAATTTAATTATGCTGGGGCTGGGGAGTGTTATTTTGCATCTGTTCCATTTTCAGTCTGTTCAATCTATCATGCATTTCTGTTGTCCTTGAGATTCTCAGTCTTCCATCTCTGTGGATGACCCATCTGCTCTGTTACCTTCCAGCAGCTCTGTGTAATATTGAGCAATCTCTATATAAACTTTTGCTGCAAAACCTTTGGAGAACACGCAAAATATTTGGATCTGTTGTTGCAGTGGGCGAGATGCAGCGATGAGCAGCCGCCCCAGCCAAAGACAGGGGGCATCTGTGGGCGAGGGAGGAGGGCGCAGCGGGTAAGAGCAGGGAAGCGAGAATAATCCAGGAAACGAAGCTGCTAGGCCTGAGTCAGCAGGGATTTCTTCCTATTTAGATGTTCTGTGTCAGTGGGACAGCTTTGTACTGGTAACCTGCTGCTACACGGTCACATCACAAGATTGTTGCTGGGCTTTGAAGTGGAGTTACTTTTGTGCTAACAAAAGCAGGAGCAGGTGGACTCATAAATCAGCCAAGGAGAGGCGCAGCTCAGCTGTGTTTCTGTTTAATTATACAGCTTCTCCAGTCCAGCAAGTGAACTTCCACTTCTCCACATACTGGCCCCGAGCTCTATACAGCAAATATTAGATGGGCTTCGGGGGAGGTTAGAGGCCTCTGATTTCTAATAGAAATGAAGGAGACTTGATTCTCTCCTCCCGAACACCTCCGAGTAGATGACTTGAGACTGTAAAATATGAACAGGCTCTTCATTGTCATAGGATAAGCCTCTCTCCTCTTTGTCTCAACATAAGGTTTGCAGAGAGAGAGTCTTTTATTATCCTTAGTTGGGGTATAGTGAGGGGAGGCTGAGGGGGGTGAAAAATAAGCCTTTGAGCACACTGCTCCTTTGCAGGTTGGAAATAGTTGTCAGACTTGAGGCCAATTACGTGTTGGGGAACGATTGCTTTGAGTTTAACTTAATTAAATTAGACAACCTGAGACAAAAAGTAGTTAATGAAGCAGAAGAGAATTTTTAGCAGGAGAAGAAGTGATAGTCGTTGCCCCCCAGCAAGAAGGAAGAGAGAATTGCTGGCTGCTGTCAGATAGAAGCAGGGCGTAAGGAAATTTTGTTTGTCACAGCAACAGTACTTGTGTGCTTTTGTGTTGATTTTTGTTGTGTTTTGGGGTATCCAGCAGAGTTATGAATTTTAATTTCTAAGTCTGCCTTTCTGAACGTATGTTTAAGGTCTTCCTAGTCTGAACAACTAAAGCACATTTCAGAGGGGAAAATTTTTTTTTTGGCAAAGACAGTAGATACCATTCCACCTTAATATTTGACTTCTGTTATTTATTTTATCTAGGAATATTTTTGCTAAATTTTTACTGTAGTGTTATTCATGTCTGTGAAATTCGCTTGTCTGTATAGTTTAAACCAGTACCTCCAGAAAGTAGTTGCAAGCACAGAATTTCCAGTGTGTATCCACAGAAGAGACTAAAAATACCTGTTCTGATGCTTCTCTGAAGCTGAGTTTTAGCTATGAACTGAGGTCCACTTATCAGATATACATAGAGAGTATTAAGATGAAAATTATGTATTTATCACTTTCAGGATTTTACAGTTGCAAGTTTTATTGGCTGCTTCAGTCTTGTAATGCAAAAGCTGCCTTTTTAAATACAGAATTTTAAATGAATGCAGTTATGTTAAAATTTCTAATTTTCCCTCTTCTATTCACTGATGATATGATTTAAAATGCCAGAATATACCCATCCAAAAAATGTTTTTGAGTGATGTAAAGTGTTGTTGTTTTGGGGAACGTGTCCTAAAGCATGACTATGCCAAGAAACAGTTCCCATGTTGGGTCTCTGGTTTTAAGTTTTCAGTGCAATTACTTTCAATATTAATTTGGATGTCTCCATGTACTAGGGACAGTTTCTTAGAGTGCCAGCAGTACATTTACAGATGAGTAAATTATACCCACCTCACCTCTTGTTCCCAGCCTGTAGAGGTGAGCGTGTGGTTGGCAGCTTTAAGAAGCTGGTATTTCTGTATAAGCTGCAAGGACTCATTCTTTATACTAGGAGGTTCCCACTGGAGTCCTTTGTGCTGGCCCTGGTGAAGACCAAGTTGCAATTGTAAAGCTTTAACTCGTTTGCTTTATGGTGGAGTCCCAGGGGTGCTCTGCCTGGGCAGTATGGCACAGCTCCGACTTGAGAGAGCACCCGTCAGCAGCCAGGGCAGGAGGGGGCAGCTGGTGTTGTATGTGTGACATAGGTTCCTCTAGGTTAAACCAGGTTTAAAAACAATGTGAACTCTTCTTAGTTCCTTTCAGAATACCTCCTGCTGATTTTTTTTTTTCTTTCTCACACACCAGCTTCTTACCAGCATAACCTGAGGTGAAGCAAGATAAACTTTGTTTTTAACGGAATATGTGTCCACCAAAATATTGCACTGGAATGTCTAGTAGCTACTACAGCACAAGATCTTGAGGGACGTGAAGGATGCGATATTTATGGAGTGTAGCTGGAGAGGTTTTGGTGCCATGTCAGACTTATCTTAAAAGATCACACGTTGACCAGTGCCGGATAATGATCAGACAAAACTTTGAGGAGAGCAGAAAGCTGTGGGTGTTCCTGTGGCCCAGCCAACCAGACCTCCCAGCGCTCCCTCCCCACTTCTCTGCAGGAGACCCCAGCCAGTTCCTCTTCCTTCACCCCAACCTGCTCTCTTGGATCCTCCCTTAGGTCTTTGCCAAAAAATAAAATTTAAGTGCCAAATATTTTTCTTCCTGTAGTTCTGTTTTTCTCAAAGCTTTCATTAACTGTGAGAAGATTTCTCACTCTTCATAGCATTTCTACTGTAGAAACATGTTTCATAATCCCCCCCCCCCCCCCAC